TTAAGGATCACATAAAAAGCATTAAAGTATCTCATCACTTTTTCTCAATGCGAATGGTTTTAGGTGTGACGTAAGATACTTCTCTGATTAATTATGCCTTTCAGCCTCCGGGACAGAAGCCAGCTTCAGGGAAATTTTCACAACACAAAAATACAGTATACAATTCAATGGTAAGGAACAGAAAAATTACGAAACATCCGTGTTGTAAAAGACGAACCAGCAAATGTAAAACAAAACTAGTTGGAACTTTACATTTGACAACTGAATTTTGAAAACTGGAATAGTCAAAAGAAATGAAAACTGACGCTATTTATTTGACAATATTATAGATTTCCAAGTAACAGATATCAGCTGAACTGAAGCAATTGTAGCAAATCCTTTCCTTATTAAGTACAATATGTAGAGATTCTTTAATGAGCAGGCTGAGTCTGTCCTTTTCACAGTCGAAGATCATGATTAAAATTATGTTCGCACTCTAACAGTGGGCTACAATCCTGTAATTCTCTGGATGATTCTTCCTAACAGCATCTTGGTGTTATTTTATTATCGCGCTAAGGGTTCTGTATGTTTCACTAATGCAGATTTGTCATGGTTAATTTTTGAGTAAAACTGTCTGTATAAAATGGATCCTAACGAGCTGCATGTCTATAAATAACCCGGAAGCCTTGCGCTTGGAGATGATGTTGAAGGGAGGGAGAGATGTCAGGATTAAGGGAAAACGAGATGACAGACGTTAGAACTTCTGGCTTTTTCTGGGGACTATATTTGGATAATGACGACTGGATTTTAAATAAGGGTTTAAATAAGGGCTTGGGTACACACCTCAACGAAACATCTTATTCAAAAATCTACACTCCTTACTAAGGACGCCAGGTTCTAAGCAATATCATTTGGTCCTAAGTCTCACACTTTTAATGACATTATAGAAAACGACGCGGGGTATGTTGGAGATACAATGTAACCGCTTGTTTGAGTTTTGTGCATTGTGAAAGATGTTTATACTGTTTATACTGAACACAGAACCATGGTCTGATTAAATGGCCCCCGTCGCATCTACAAAAATTGTGCAGGGTTGGAATAGCATACAAACCAATACGAATCTATCCTTTTTTACGCTGATAATCTGAGTGTGAGTATTAAATGGACCCTGCGGATAGATCGAATATGATTCAAAGTAAGGCAAATTATCGATACTTTGGCTATGCAAACGTAAAAAACTATTTTATGGTTATGATGAAAAAGAATGATAACGTTATCACAACATCCTAAAAATTATACTGTGTGAATCCAAACAAGTGACACGAGACAATATACTGAAGTTCAAACAAATGTAGTACTTCATTGTGTAGCAACAGTTCCAAACAGACTCGCTAAGCAAAGTTTCGGGTGAAAAAGCTGGGAGCCACCGCTGGCAACGAAAGCATACTGAAAAGATTTGAATCGTCCAAATGGAAGATAATGAGCGGTAGCAAGACGACAGAAAAGTCCGGAAGATTAAGGCAAAAGTCTGATCGGCGACATCAAGAAAGGTAGGGAAAATAACATCCTTCCTGCTGTTTGGGTTGTCAATACATAGAAAATCTGACGAAACAGCGTTGTTTCGAGTCGTGTAGATTGATATTCTCATTTTCGTAAAGATTTCATTTGTCGTTGTTTGAAAAGGCTTTTAAAACACGATATAACCATTGAAAATTTTACATAGGAGAATCAGGTAACACCATTATTTAAAAAATGATCAATTATTTGAATCTGAGAAAATGGTTAAACACCGAAAAACCTTGCGCAATATCCAAAAGATGCACCCCTTCAAAATAAAGCATGGCTATGCAATAAATGAAACTTCGACATAAAAGGGTCCATAAACGTAAAAACAGGAAGGCTCCAAATCTATAAAGCCCTTCGAATCATCAGCAAAATAAACGGACGGGGCAGGCGTATCATAGAGGCATTCGACATTTGTAAGCATCATAACCGAAAACCAACGGCGAGACCTTAACTCATCAGCCTTCGCAAGAAAATATCTGCCTTTTGGTAGTTCAGTTATCGCTGCTGTTCTCTGAAAGGTCAAACGAACTATTTGGTTCAGCAATGTAGTTGAAAAAATGTACTTTCTATCACTACTGTTAAAGAAAACTGAAGTATAAAATAAGCATTATCATAATGAAAATCATAAAAATGTGGTGTAACGCTTTCAGAGCAGGATATATCTGAAATGCTCGCATTTGCTTCTTAAAACTTCGATTTTAGTTTAGCAGTATGACCACTACTTCTGAATACAAATGATATCTATCGTACGATCGCAAATATTCAAACTCGCAATTTCAAGTAGCAAACAAAGTGGGGGGGGAGAGAATTGACGACCATCATTCATACGCAGAAGCATAAACAAATGAAGTCATATAATGCGAAAAGGTAGAAAATGCTACAATCAGCGGAGAAGCTGGACGGCGTAAGATGAAAAGTAAAACCAACGGTATTAAGGACGATGAGTAAAGACGAGTAAAGTGCCTTGGCTAAATACTTTCGAAAAACAATAACGATAATACCAGAGACAAAGAAACCGTTTAAAGCAGTGGTAAATTTTGATCACTTTGATAATGATAAACTTTTATATCTATTTTAAAGTAGAATACCTTAACGACGTTAGAAGATCACAGCCAAGTTGACAAGTTCGGACGCAAAAGGCACATTTCGTCTTGCAAGCAATTTTTGGACGACAAAGCTTTTCGAAAATAACCGCGTGCGTTTCGGCTGAGATTAAGGCATCGGTGTTAAGTCGGTTGCGCACCAGACGTTTCAGCATACGCATTGTCTTGTCCTGCAGGGTCGCGTCCACTGGATTGCCAACAACATTCAACAGCGTATCCCAGACTTCACTCGTTGACAGTGAAGTAGCATGACTGCCGTGTGAAATCCAAGAAAGGATATGAATCGACAAACCGCACAGTCGTTCTAACTCGAAAAAAATCGACGGCTCGATAGGATGATTTTGAGCTGAAGACGACGAGCCTGTGACGCTGATAACTTCAGACGGGCACGAGTTGGCCTCGTTTTCAGACAAAACCAGTGTCACCGTCGAACCCTCTAACGAGAGTGGGGAAGCATCGCTGAGGCGACGACACGCGCCAACATCTTTGGTCTTGTCACAAAAAGATGAAGAGAACGACTCTAAAATAGAATTCGCACATCACGCATATCACAAGCTCGAAATCAAAATGACTTGACCACGCACTACGTGACGGACGGCAACGGAAATCGAAGATTTGTACACTGATAGACCGATAGCTCTGCAACTGCTTCTTAATAATATTCAGTCCCTCTTCATGTGCTGTACTTGAATTTTTCATGAGTCATCTCAAAAACTTAACACAGGCGAAAGTTTCTCATTTTATTCCAATTCCTTCTCTCATTTCTCCGGATTTACACGGCGTAGCGCACCGTCCACTTGCCTCTAACGGTCAAGAGGACCGTTTAAGCAGGCTACTGCTCAATGGCATTTTAGCACCTAAAGTTTGTGGACACAAAAGAGCATCACTTTTCCGGGTGGAACAAAAACATGTTCGAACACCAACAAATATATCGCAGTCTGTAGGCATATTTACCAAAAATAAACTCCGTTATTTTAAGCGGTGTAAAACCGGAGAACTGACAGGAGTATGCTATTTTTGCCGGCAGCCTTGAAAACTAGCAGTTTGGACGCAAACCCATAATAACAGGGTTATTTGTGGTAACTACAATTCATATTCGAAAGTTACACTAATTCGAAAACTACCACGACAGAGAGGCGAGATTATACATCTCAGTAACCATGACAGCACTGCTCTGGAGCATAAAAATTGCGCGAGACAGGATCCGCATTTCAGATGCTGGAATGGTAAAGATTAGATCAATAGCATTTCACCCTTGACATACAACGGCCATGACAGCCATATATGATCACAACGAATAGTCCTCAGTGCGCCACCTTGGGCTGAGTGTGTTCGGCGAAAAGTACGTTAACCGCCGCAGTTATTCGCACATTCGCTAAGCAGCTTGCAAAGTAAATGTCACTGCATCAGCTGTTCCCTTATATGATACGTGATGCACCGCAAAGTTCGAAGTTCAAAGTTAACAACAGAATATTCTAAATGGAACCGGCCAAATAAACGGAGCTTCTTCTTCTTCATCTTTCATCGCCGATTCTCCTTTCGGGTCGCGGAGGCAGACGCGTCAGACGGAGCTTCCAATGTTCCCGATCCTGTGCCAAAGTCTGAGCTTCGGCAGAAGACAACTGGAGTCTGGAACAGACTCCTTCCATATAAACGGACCATTATACTTAAAAACTGGAATATTCTTTCCTTGGCTGGAAAAGAATAAGATCTGGTCAAAGAAGCCCGGCGCCACAAAAAATTTATAGTTAGAATCTCTTACACCACAAACTACAGTTCTAAAGCGTTCGATCTCGATAGTGGGTAAAACAGTGACTGCTCCAAAACTGATCCGACCATGTTGGTACAAGTACGGGTTGCGATGTTCGCAAACTACTGGTTGGCAGATTGTATAAAATACGTCTATGTTGAAGCAGACGCTCAGGGAGCAGATGCTGGCTCTGTTGAGAAATTCCTGCTGACATGGAATCTACGCTCTTAATCGAGGATTTTAACGCACATCGGGACCAACTAACAGGGATAAAGTGTGATCGCAAAGAAAAGCGACCCATACTTCATTAACCGCTGAATGCTATCAAGTAACTGGACTGCTGCTGTACAAATGACCCTCCATCAAAAACACCTTTCATCAGCACCGTTATATAATTCATCTGGCTCAGGCATAATTTAAGCCACCGCTGACAGACTTGATCATAGCTTCGCTGAACTTGCTATAATTGTGCTTGATGTTCGAAATTCCGATAAAGTGAGGGGAGGAAAAGTCGGCAGATCGCATCCTGACTGCCAATTGCGCCTTTCGAACCTA